TTTTTGTACTGAAGAACATTTGCATGTTGAAAAAGCTTCACTATGTTTCAGCGTTTCCACCTAAGGCACAATGTCAGGAGTATTGTAGTCAAACTATCGGCTAAGGGACATTGCTGACGGCCAGGTTTGAAGACGTTTATTTTAGTTTCAAATAGTTTAAAGAGAAACTTATTCTACAGTACTCACCGTCATCTCTTTGGCTGAGTGCTTGAACAAAAAACACTAAAGAAAAAAGCGAAAACGGTCAATAAACCAACCAGCACACTTATAGACAAACAGCTGACAACTGCGGTGAAGATAAATGTATAAAACAAATATCTATCATTGATTTTGCATTGATTTGACACACACAAAAGGATGCATCTTGTACAAAGTTTGTTAATGTTAAGTTTACCTGAAATGATTAAGCACAACAGCAAATGGCGAGCTGTCATCCTGATGATCGACTGTCACTAAACGCGCTTTTACGGCGTGTGCTTCAACTGTCAAGTTTACACGGAGAGTATGAATATTAAAATGCGACTGAGGCTTTATATCTGCATGCATACAATTAAAATACATAACGTAGCTAAGCAGGCACTCCGCAGGTGATTTGGTTTGATAATGATTTCCATATTCGGGGCCATCTCCCGTCTTGTTCGCACGCCCCCCATATTATCGGTCTGCTGTAAAACACGGAATGTTTCAGACTGCATTATGTATTGGACTGGATTGGACAAAAAGTAAGCACTAGATTACAAGAATGAATCCTTGGACACAGATGCATTAACTGCGAGTATTCCGGTTTTCTCCTGTAGTAAGACTGGATCAATAAGAGATGATCCTTACTGGACCTCTAGGGAGAACAGTTTAGAACTGACAGAGTTATCCAGTATAAATAAAGTTAGTTTAGTTTAGGTTTCCTCCTGTAGTAACACTGGATCAATAGGAGATGATCCTTACTGGACCTCTAGGAAGAACAGTTTAGAACTGATAAAGCTATCCAGTATAAATAAAGTTAGTTTAGTTTAGGTTTCCTCCTGTAGTAACACTGGATCAATAAGAGATGATCCTTACTGGACCTCCAGACAGGAGGAAACCTAAACTGAACGAACTTTATTGGATAGCTCTATCAGTTCTAAACTGTTCTCCTTGGACGTCCAGTATAAGGATCATCTCTTATTGATCCAGTGTTACTACAGGAGGAAACCTAAACTAAACTAACTTTATTTATACTGAATACCTCTATTAGTTCTAAACTGTTCTCCCAAGTCAAGAGGTCCAGTAAGAGTCATCCCTTATTGATCCAGTGTTACTACAGGAGGAAACCTAAACTAAACTAACTTTATCTATACTGGATAGCTCTATCAATTCTAAACTGTTCTCCCTAGAGGTTCAGTAAGGATCATCTCTTATTGATCCAGTGTTACTATAGGAGGAAACCTAAACTAAACTAACTTTATTTATACGGATAACTCTATCAGTTCTAAACTGGTTTCAGGAACGAGATGTCTATTCCAATCTACGTTCCATGAGTCCAGACAGTTCCAATCCAATCCGTGTTTTACAACAAGACCTCCTAGTGAGACAATGACTTGCATTAGATATATTGTCACTGCAACCATTACAGCATTTCTCGTCAGATTATTTTCTCTAAATACAAAGAATTCTTGCGGAAAATTGAACGATTTAATGTTTTGGTTACCGTTTCTAGAGCAAAAAATGTTTATCTTGCTCGTTAGTTAATTATATGGAAACAAACGAGTTTATATACGGTTGCTATGATGCGAAATTCCAAACACAATTACGCGGATATATATTTTGACAATGACGGAAAAAGTATTTAAATAACTTGAGCATGAATAACAATAAGTGATAAAGTATAAATAAAGAATCTATAAGATCATCTTTGAAATTTTAACCGGTGCCCAGAATTTAATTGCTTGGAATCTTTTCCGGGAGTTCGCTGTGTTTGTGTATATTTTTGTTTTTCGAGATTAGATGTCGATTAAATAATTTCTATTGCAACAAAATGGCTTGCATGCAGGTGTGCGCTTATGCAGCAGAAAGCACCGGCGAAAAATGTAATATATTTCGTCGAAATATTGAAACAACTGCTAGTCCGCATACATTCATGCTATTTTGCACGTTTCATTTTTCAGGAAAGATCCATCTTGGAAACACCCCTGTTATTTTCATTTTTGATATTTTTTCTTTCACAAACACGAAAATCCCCCCGGAAATAGATTCATGCAAAACACTTGAATCGGGCACCTATACTTTGCGCAATTCTTAGTAAATTTAAGCATGGTGACATGCATGGCTATATCCGTGGAAAGCGCAGAAAAATGAAGCCAGTTGATATTGACATCACATTCTCAATAGAAATTTTAGTACAAATCTACCGACATTATGTATAGGTTATTATAAGACCAAATGCACAGAACAAATGTCACTACAGTATGTTGCTTTCGATCTGAAACCAACTTTAAAGGTAGGCCTACTCGATAAGAACGTTATTTCGACATAAAAAGCAGTACATTTCTCCCACAATAGATTATTCAATATATACTCCCATTATGGTTGTCAATTGTGGATTGTTCCTTGAACAATCTTGAAATATTCAAACGAAGTGGGCTGAGTCATTTTAAGTCTATGGGAGGCAATAACGTATATGTAGTATTGCCTCCATATTTAGAAAGTGTTACGATGCATTACCTTTCGAGAGAAGACATCAGAAGAATATTCTCTAAGGTTTATGTAAGGTCTATAAGTGAATCATTAAAATATAACTAAACTTGCAAAACAGATGTCTATGCATGCATAGTAAATTGTTCGGATATCCGTAATGTCATCATTACAACCATCAAATTTGTTATGTTTAGGTTTGCATGGGGACAAAATTTATTTGTTTTCTTTTGTGGAAAACATGCACGACATTTAGTTATTTGGCAACTAGCTTTCGATCCACAAGCCAAAATTATCTTCACAGTAAAAAATATCAAATTGCTCACAATATATACACCCTTTCGGAAAGTACTACTCGGCCTCAGACCTGTGAGCCTCGCTTTCGTGATTTGAGATATTAGGTTTGGAGTCTTTTATCTTGTTACTGATGGAGACATTTGCGAAATCATACAGTTATAGTAGATGATATGAAAGACCTTTATATAATTAAGTCATCAGCAACAAGATCGGAGCGCTCTAAAGCCGATATCTGCGCCAAGTAGTGGAAATCAAGTCATCGTGCAGATTAATATAAGTCATCGTGCAGACTAACTATCGTGCATGCAGATTAAGCCACGTGCAGATTAACACCTGTATTCTAAAAGCTCACTCATACTCAATGAGTGGAGGTTCAATCTGAGCTTCTATTGAGTGTCAATGCTGCTTTTGAATAGCTGGAGGGTGAGTGGTCACATAGTAAGGTACAACACTAACCCTCCAGCCATTCAAAAACAGCATTGACACTCAAGAGAAGCTCAGATTGAACCTCCACTCATTGAGTGTGAGTGAGCTTTTAGAATACGGGCGTGACGCCTGTGTTCTAAAAGCTCGCTCACACTCTAAGAGTGAAAGTTCAATTTGAGCTCCCTTGAGTGTCAATGCTGTTTTTGAATAGCTGGAGGCAAACCTGACAATAAATTCCCAACGGTGCCTGACAAACGCCCGTATTCTAAAAGCTCACTCACACTCACACTCAATGAGTGGAGGTTCAACCTGAGCTTCTCTCGAGTGTCAATGCTGTTTTTGAATAGCTGGAGGGTTAGTGTCGTACCTTACTCGGTGACTACTCACCTTCCAGCTATTCAAAAACAGCACTGACACTCAAGAGAAGCTCAGATTGAAACTCCACTCATCGAGTGTGAGTGAGCATTCGCCTTTCAGAATACAGGCGAAAGTGTCAGGTACCAACTGATTGGTGCCTGACACTGGACATTTTGTGCCTGACAAAAAAGATTAACGCAATAGAGCAATTATAGTTTTTCGTGGTCCTTGAAATGAAAGAATCCAATGAAAAGCTTAGTAACAACAATTAAGCCACACAACGATTAATTGGGCCGATTCAGCTTTAATTAAATGATATTTGAAAAATACGCGGTCAACGACATCTGACGAGATCGTCAGCTGACAACATTCGTCATTCACATTCGACAAAACCAGAAATCGGCCCGATTAATCGTTGTGTGTAAACGTAGATTTAGGACCCCCTCCTATCTGTCCCACACTGAGCCCACAACACACCTACGTTGGAAAAACTGGGATATTTTAGTCACAGTCATGAGACTGCAGCAGGGACATACGCAAACCTCCTACCTTGCAATGCCAATGTGGTGTCAAGCACGGAATTGAGAATGGTTTAAACCACAGGGACGATCTTATATGATTGTCACGCTGTTACAATACGGGTGGATGGTTTTTCTTCCGTACAACTGCAAGATAAATTAACAAAAAAAGTTACTGTAGGTAATTTTAAGCGCCGTTCAATCGAGGCCATTGTTGAGTGAATTGGGTGGGATAACTCACATGCCTAGTCCAATAATGTTGGATAATGAATTCTTCAATGGTTTGACCAAACACTGCATATTCCTCATATAAACGAATTCTTATAATAACCAAAAAATTTTATTTTATTTAAAATATTGATAACATTTACCTGGCCCGGTTGTTAAAAAGCCGATTAGCCTAACCCTAGGTTAATTTAATTTAAAATTCAAAGGAAACTTCCTAACAACTTGTTTTTAAATTTGGAAATATTTCTTCACAAATCATGTCTGGATCAATAGGAGTTTTCTTTTCTGACATTTTGAAATAAATGGACATACAGAAATATGCAAACTAAAACAGCGGGTTAAATTTTAACCCTGGGTTAGTGCTAATCAACCTTTGAACAACCGGCCCAGGGCATTAACTTTCATAAGTTATTTATACAAGCAAGTAAAATTAGTAGCAATAATTACCTTTACAATATATACAACATTTAATAATTATATATAAAATTGAATATTTTGTATTTTATACTGAATTGAAAGTTCCAATATAGAACTAATTTCTTTCACAACATTGAAAACCAAATTTGCAAAACAGTGGATATCAGTAGACCAGAAGTTCCCAATACTGGTGCAGCGCCGTCTAAGAAAATAGAATTGAAATAATGTAGTACAGGAGTCGATGGGTTCATAGTTAATGAGAATGGGTTTCATTAATCACCATATGAGCAAGAAAGCACAAAAGTGAGAAAATGTTCACTTTTCATTATCTGAAGTATTGTATATTTAGACCACTGATTTATACGATATCAGATTAAGATGTACTTTATCTATATCAACCTAGCCCGCGTGCAGGCCCGAGATATTTAATTGTATGTGCTCGATTGCATTAGTGTTAACAGTCCTGAAGTTATTAAAGACAATCTGATGTCCTATAAACGCTTACCAAACCTATCAATTAATGTAAATAATAACATATATTCCTTTTTCATTTCAGAATCCTGCATCCTCACGCATACGAAAAACGGATATGAATTCTAACATGGCAAAGAAAACGGGTGAGCTCTGTTGGGTAAGGTTGTCTCCTATAGAGCATAGTTAAGAGCTATCCAGTATAAATAAAGTTAGTTTAGTTTAGGTTTCCTCCTGTAGTAACACTGAATCAATAAGAGATGACCCTTACTGGACCTCTAGGAAGAACAGTTTAGGACGGATGAGCTATCCAGATTAAAACTGCATGATAAAGCTATCCAATATAAATAAAGTTAGTTTAATATGAGCAGTTCCTTTGTTTCCATCAATTACCTGAAGTATATCCCAAGGTAGCAGTCTCAATTTCCATGAGAATATTTTTCTGCGCTGATGAAAGGAGTGATTTCTGTTCATCAGTGACAGCTGCCGCTTGCTCTCCACTCATGTTAGACAGTTGTTCTACTGAAAACTCCTTAAAAACATCGGGCGGAATGTGTTTCAGGGAGCTGGCTGCGAAAGCATCGAGTTGGTCTGTGGTGATACTTTCAATTTCTTGTGCTGTGAAACTACCTACAAATATATGATCAATCCAACATGTCATGAGAGTGCATGAGAGTTGACAGTCATGTGACCTTGGACAGATGTTCTTAAAGCTTTCCTATCCGAAAATTCCATCTAGGAATGGATTTCAGCTATAGACTAAATTTTGATCTAGGCAAGAAGAACAAAATCCATCACCACAGCTATAGAAAGAGCATGTTAAAATTAGTAAAATTACAAAGTTTGGGTGCGAAATGTTGTAAAATGCGGAAAATATAACCCTACGAAATTTGCAAATTTTGTATTAATTTGTATTATACGCACGGGAAAATGCACCACTTTCGGCCCAAATGTGGTGCATTTTCCCGTGCGTAATACAAATTAATACAAAATTTGCAAATTTCGTAGGGCTATATTTTCTTCGTTTCACAACATTTCGCAACCAAACTTTGCAATTTTACTAATTTTAACATGCGCTTTCTAGCTGTGTTGATGGATTTTGTTCTTCTTGCCTTGATCAAAATTTAATCTATATCTGCAATCATCTATTCCAAGTACGATCATATACCTATAACAGCACCAGCCAGCGATATTTCAGCTGGTGTCCAGGAATTTACTGCACCAAATGAGGCGATTGCTTTCCCTTTTAGTATTCCCAACTGTTCTGTTGACCAATCATCCAACTCTCCCAATTCCAAAGCTGCATCCCTTTGAAAATAAATAAGAAAGAAACGATTCACTCTTCTGCGTCTGAGGCATCCTCAGTCCAAATAAAATCGACTTAAATACTATAGTCCTATCAGACCTCAAGAGTAAACCTAAATTAACTTTATTTATACTGGACTGCTGTATCAGTTTTAAACTTTTCTTTCTACAGGTCCAGTAAGGATCATCTCTTATTGATCCAGTGTTACTACAGGAGGAAACCTAAACTAAACTAACTTTATTCATACTGGATAGCTCTATCAGTTCTAAACTGTTCTTCCTAGAGGTCCAAGTAAAGGTCATCTCTTATTGATTCAGTGTTACTACAGGTGGAAACCAACACTAAACTAACTTTATTTATGCTGAATAGCTCTATCAGTTCTAAACTGTTCTTCCTAGAGGTCCAGTAAGGTTCATCTCTTATTGATCCAGTGTTACTACAGGAGGAAAGCTGAACTAAACTAACTTTATTTATACTGGATAGCTCTATCAGTTCTAAACTGTTTTCCCTAGAGGTTCAGTATAAGGATCATCTCTTATTGATCCAGTGCCACTACAGGTGGAAACCCAAACTATAAACTAACTTTATTCATACTGGATAACTCTATCAGTTCTAAACTGTTCTTCCTAGAGGTCCAAGTAAAGGTCATCTCTTATTGATTCAGTGTTACTACAGGTGGAAACCAACACTAAACTAACTTTACTTATGCTGAATAGCTCTATCAGTTCTAAACTGTTCTTCCTAGAGGTCCAGTAAGGTTCATCTCTTATTGATCCAGTGTTACTACAGGAGGAAAGCTGAACTAAACTAACTTTATTTATACTGGATAGCTCTATCAGTTCTAAACTGTTCTTCCTAGAGGTCCAGTAAGGTTCATCTCTTATTGATCCAGTGTTACTACAGGAGGAAAGCTAAACTAAACTAACTTTATTTATACTGGATAGTTCTATCAGTTCTAAATTGTTCTTCCTAGAGGTCCAGTAAGGATATCTCTTGTTGATCCAGTGTTACTACAGGAGGAAACCTAAACAGTAAACTAACTTTATTTATACTGGATAGTTCTATCAGTTTTAAAGTGTTCTCCATAGAGGTCCACGCCCACTATATAAGATACTTACTGATAAGCAACGACATCTATGCCATTCAACTCCGTGGTACTCATTCCACTTGCAATCACGCCCAACGCAGCGAAATCATCTCCAGTAAACGCCGCCATAGACTTTACACCCTTTATTGTCTCCCAAAGTTTGGCGACTTGCTGCGATGTGTACCCGCGGACATTACCAAAACTCTCTATCACTTCGTTGGATGTGAACGACATTTGACTAAGCTCGTCTGCTGTGAAGCCTTTCGCGAATTCATTTAGCGTTAATAGCTGGTCTTCCGTCATTAAAGCTGGGGCTCCCATAGCCTACAGAATTATGTAAATATATAACCCTATATTAATATACACTACGAAACTACTATGGGTTTCTCTAACCCAGGGGCCTGTTATACCATAACGAATATCCACCGCGGACAGTGATTTTGCAACTTTTGTGATATGTTTGAAAAGCTATAAAACTTCTGTACATGGACCTCACAATCAATGAAAATAGAATTTATTTTATAAATAAATAATGGTTATGCCAATCAACGAACAATTTTATGAAGCTCGAAAATCACTATATCCGGTGAATAGCGTTTTAAACTGTTTTTTCTAGAGGTCCAGTAAGGATCATCTTTAATTTGTTGATCAAGTGTCACTACAGGAGGAAACCTGAACTAAACTAACTTATACCGGATAGTTCTATCGGTTCTAAACTGTTCCCCCTAGAGGTCCAGTAAGAGTCATCTCTTATTGATGCAGTGTTACTACAGGAGGAAACGTAAACTAAACTAACTTTATTTATACTGAGTAGTTCTATCAGTTTTAAATTGTTCCCCCTAGAGGTCCAGTAAGAGTCATCTCTTATTGATGCAGTGTTACTACAGGAGGAAACGTAAACTAAACTAACTTTATTTATACTGGGTAGCTCTATCAGTTCTAAACTGTTCTCCCTAGAGGTTCAGTATTGAAGCGTCAATACTATACTCACCAAAGCCGCCTTGCTGGCCCAAGCTTGTAGTTGCTCCGTACTAAATCCTTGCATCTCGCTTATTTCAGCCACTGCATCTAAGAACGTCTCGTTGGTTATTGTGAGAATTTCACTGGGAGTCAAAGCGAGTAGAGTGGAACCCATTGCTATCAGATCTGCGGCGGTCTTTGAGGACATATCTAAAATGGTATGTATGAATGCATGAGAAATAGATTTCATAATTTCATATACTTGGCCCTTCAAATAACGTATTTCGGTATATTTGCCCAGATTCTGCCGGAGAGGGGGGGGGGAGGGGCGTGGACACGCCAATAATTCATCCTTCACTCTGGCATACCTACGGCACGTCGTTTTCGTCTGGCAGATTCAGTTTTCTCCACAACGGCCACAGCCTCCTCAGCTTGTAGATCGGCCTCCGCAAACACATGAATGTTTTCTTGGACCACATTTGTTGGGATTTCTGCAATGTCAGTGCTGTCTAGGCCTTCTACTATATGTCCCAAATCATGAAGTATTTCCCCGTCGAATGAAGCTGCACCGCTGTGTAAAAGAGTAAATGTCAAACTGTTAGAGCTGTCCAGTATAAATAAAGTTAGTTTAGTTTAGGTTTCCTCCTGTAGTAATACTGGATCAACAAGAGATGATCCTTACTGGACCTCTAGGAAGAACAGTTTAGAACTGATAGAGCTATCCAGTATAAATAAAGTTAGTTTAGTTTAGGTTTCCTCCTGTAGTGACACTGGATCAATAAGAGATGATCCTTACTGGACCTCTAGGAAGAGCAGTTTAGAACTGATAGAGCTATCCAATATAAATAAAGTTAGTTTAGTTTAGGTTTCCTCCTGTAGTAACACTGGATCAATAAGAAATTATCCTTACTGGACTTCTAGAGGAACAGTTTAGAACTGATAGATGTATCCATTATAAATAAAGTTAGTTTAGTTTAGGCTTCCTCCTGTAGCAACACTAGAACAACAAGACTTACTGACTTACCCATAAGCTTCCACAGCTTTATTTGCAAGTGCAGCAGTTGTTTCATTATCCAGTTCATCTATATCGCCCAGTGTTGCCATGGCATCAGTGAAAACACTAGAACTTATCTGTCCTATCTCTTCTGATGTAAGTCCGCTGACTAAGTAACCAAGCTCTTCCAGCTCATCGCTGTTGATAGTAGACGCTTCTTTACCCTTTAATACAACAAGGAGAAATTATTAGGATACCGAATATGGAACTCAGACAAGTAGCAAACTGACTCGGCGCTAGGAATAAGCTTGTTGATTTTTACCGCTTAGTCCAGACAGGAATACGGGTATTGCATTATGAACTGTACGGCTATCCACATAATTTATTCTTGAGTCGTAAATTTGGAATTTGATAAAGTTACTTGAAAATTTGTTCTTAGCATAGTTCAAACGCTAGTGTCCAGTATATGGGGCATCCTGTAAAGAACTTCCGTGGTGTTGAACTAATTTTGAGGTAGTTCAGACACTAACCTGCACAGTAGATTACCTATTGCTTTTCGCATAAAAATTGCGGAGGGCTTTCTAAGAATGTTGTTGGTATATCGCGGACACAGCTATGGGATCGAATATTATTTATGAAATATGAAATATGATAAAGGAACAGTTCCTACCAAAATAGTTAGAGCAATTTTAGTTTTTCTTCGCCTTCCTTGTTTCGGTAATTTTCGCGATAGTCGGCTAGTTCCCATGATCCTCACTGCCTCTCTCGCAGTTTCTGTTGGTAGGCCAGCATGTAGCTCATCAATGATGTGAATCACGAAGTCACCAAGTGATGACATGTCTGTGACGGTCATGTCTGCCTCTCGACCCGAGTACCCCTGGAAGAATCTCTTCGCTATGGTCTTCGCCTAGAACGATATTAGAGAATTACAGTTGAATTCAATGAGGAAAACTAAATTTATAATATTTATATACTGCATAGCTCTATCAGTCACTGGTTTTACTGTTGCCCCCAGAGGCCAAATAGGAGCCGTTTCCAATATTAAGGCCCATTTCCACTCAGAAAAATTTTCCGCAGAAAGAAAATTTTGTAAAATGTGATTGGCCGACACAAGTTTTCCACCGGAAAAATTTTTGAAGTTGAAAATTTTGAAAATTTTCAACTTTTAACAATGATATTTTCGGAAAATTTTCTGTCAGTGGAAATTATTCTTGAGTGGAAATGGGCCTTAAGCATAAAGAAAACTCTTAAGAAAAGTCTAAAGAAAAGTCTAGAGGAAAGTCTTTTCTAAAGAAAAGTCTTGCCTGCAGTTTTAGCATGACACAGTTGAGGCCCATTTCCACCACAAGGAAAATTTCCACGGACAGAAAATGTTCCGAAAATATCATTGTTAAAAGTTGAAAATTCTCAACTTCAAAATATTTTCCGACGGAAAATTTGTGTCGCGCGGAAAATTTTCCTGAGTGGAAATGGGCCTTTATAGAGTTGCATGGGTTAGAAATATAGATAGAACAGTACTGAATAGGTTTATCAGTTCGGAACTGTTCTTCCTAGACGTCAAGTAATAGGCATCCTGGATTTTAGGCCTGAAGGAATCTCTTGGCCATCGTCTGAAAGAACAAACTAGTAGATAGCTCTATCATTTCTCTAAACTGTCAAGTAAAGGCCATCGAATACCGGTCCAGTATTACTACAGGAACGGAAACCTAAACTGACCTTTATTCATTTATACTGCATGGGTATTATTTTGTGTTGAGTCTGACCTATATACATACCTGACTAAGAGTCCAGTTCGAAATCTGACTGAATTCCGCAACAAAGTCAGTGAAGGAATCAATACTCAGCTTATCAATATCTGATCTTTTTAACCCCAGTGCCAGACGTCCAAGTTTTCTGAAAATATAAAAAATTCATTCTCTTTCTATGTCACATTAGGTACGGGCTTAGTAGACAATTCCCATTATAGACTAATTTTAAAACTAGGCAAGGGCCAAGTGGATGCAAATAAATCTAGAAAGATCTGGAAAGAGCATATTAAAACGAGTAAAATTGCAAAGTTTGGTTGGAAAATGTTGTAAAATTCGGAAAATATAGCCTTGCAAAATTTGCAAATTTTGTATAAAATTGCTACCACATTTGGGCCGAAAATGGTAGGAAATTCCGCACGCAATACAAAAGTGTACAAAATTTGAAAACTTTGCAAGGCTATATTTTACAACATTTCGCAACTAAATTTTGCAATTTTACTCATTTTAGTATGCTCTTTCTAGCTGTGGTGATTTATTTGCATCTCCTTCCCTAGTTGTAAAATAAGTCTATTGCATGGAAATTGTCTATTGTATAGTAGTAACATATATATCTAAACCGGTAATAGTTTTAAAACAACGAGATCGTTCTTACTTGATATTTTTCAGTTCCCAGTTTTCAGACGAGTCCGACACTGGTCCCCAGTTCTCTGGCTTCATGATGACGTCACCAAGCACAGCTCTAGCCTGCACAGCCCGCCATTGGGGCATGCCCGCGTCGGTGACATTGCTACTATCGCTGGAGTTATCGAAGACATCAACAGGTAGGATATCATCAACGCTATCGATATTCTTCAATTCTCTGATAGGAAATTCCGAGACAAAATCACCAAATTCTTTAATGCGAAGCCTGGATTGATTTCCACCGCTCATTAACTAAAACGTAAACATACTCAATATTGCACAGTTTACTTAATCAACTAAACTAACTTTATTTATACTGGATAGCTCCATCAGTTCTAAACTGTCCAGTAAGGAACATTAACGCGTGTATTCTAAAAGCTCACTCACACTCAATGAGTGGAGGTTCAATTTGAGCTTCTCTTGAGTGTCAATGCTGTTTTTGAATAGCTGGAGGGTTAGTGTCGTACCTAACTATGTGAATACTCACCCTCCAGCTATTCAAAAACAGCACTGACACTCAAGAGAAGCTCAGATTGAACCTCCACTCATTGAGTGTGAGTGAGCTTTCAGAATACAGGCATCCTTATGCCTAAGTCTAAAACCTTATGTCTAAAGCCTGCGATGTTACTCAGAGTTGAACTGCAAACCATTATTCTAAACTCCGGTCATGCACAGAGGTGTTACATTGTGCAATCATCATTTAGTTGTGAGTGAAAAAACCCTCCGAGAAGTAAAATTCATGAAACTAAACTGGACTTCAAACCTGTTTTATGAGCACGCGTTTCTTGGACTTGGGAACGTCCACTTCATTTCTTAGCATTTTGACAGCTTCTCTGGCTTCGTCAGGCTTTAACCTTTTCAACATGGATGACGGCAAGTCTCTCATTAGTGGCCCCATCTTTTTTACCGAACTAAGGAGGAGGTGGTAGAATATTAGGTGAGAAGCAGCAAACTTTGTTGATGGTGGTGATGATGATGGTGGTGTGGTGATGGTGATGGTAGTGACCATGTTAGTGATGGTGCTGGAAGGTGATGATAATGGTGATGATAGTGATGGTAGTGATAATGTTAAGGATGGTACTTGAAGGTGATGATGATGGTGATGATGATGATGATAATGATGGCAGTAACAATATTAATAATGGTGCTGGAAGGTGGTGATGATGATGGTGATGGTAATGATGGTAGTGACAATGTTAATGATGGTGCTGGGAGGTGATGGTGATGATAATGATGGTCGTAACAATATTAATGATGGTGCTGGAAGGTGATGATGATGGTAATGATGGTGATGGTAATGATGGTAGTGACAATGTATGGAAGGTGGTGATGATGTAAGCATCTGACAGTTACGGGATATGTGAAATACTACAGATACCATTAATTATAATCCAAAATCCAAGAATTAACATACCTCATATCCCAATTCTGTAGATCTCCCATTTTCTGCTGAATCTTCTTCGCCAAAATGCGTCCTTTATGTTTGGGAAGTTTCATATCTTTCACTTCAGGCAATGCTTCGAGGAGAGCATCGCCATCAATCTCCAGCAATTCTGTCGTCTCGATCCCTCCCAGCAGATTACTAGCATTCTGTATATGATCTCGTGTCCACTGCCTTGGATGACCGTATAATGTTTTAAGACGTTTACCCAGAGCTCGTTTCTGAAGTCAAAGTTAGACTGTTCACTGTTGGTGTCAGTTGATCAGGCGGTCAATGGAGCACGGTTCGAATAAATTGTATTTCTTGCTATTGACTGTTCTCTTTCCACTCTTATTCTTTACTTTCTTCCTTTCTTAATGATCTTTCCTTTCATTCCTTCATTCCATCCACCTTTCCTTCGATCTTTATTTCTTCTATCCAGTCATTCAACTTTTCTTTTCTTTTCTTTTCTTTTCTTATATCTTCCCTTTCCTTCCCATCCCTTCCCTTCTTTTCTACATTCATACAAACCTTGTATGGAGGTAAAACAGTCCGACCAAATTCTCTCACAGAATCTCGCAGAGTGTCATCGGGAAGTTCATCAAGTTCTTGCTTCGACAAAGAAGATCGTAAATTACCAAGCCTGGAGTTTTCAAACAAAATTTGCTAATCGTTTCACTCTCACATCAGCTTGGAGCTGGTCAAACATTTCTTGATAGTCAATGAGGGGACTCCTGCGCCTTCTTTGCTCTACAATTATCACTTACTTTTTAACTGTATCAGCAGTCCAGGTATTGATCGCTCCAAAGCCACTTGCTGCATCCTTTAGTTTATTAACCAGTTCCTTTCCACGTTTTTCATCCCATTTTTCTTGGCCGAGGTTATCCAAGGCTTCCTTTATCTGTTGAGAATAAAGGATGGTAAATGACGTCAGAGTGCTATCTTCAACAATTGATTTATACTGGATAGCTCTATCAGTTCTAAACTGTTCTTCCTAGGGGTCCAGTAAGTGTCATCTCTTATTGATCCAGTGTTACCACAGGAGGAAACCTAAACTAAACTAACGTTATTTATACTGGATAGCTCTATCAGTTCTAAACTGTTCTCCCCAGAGGTCCAGTAAAAATCTTCAAAATTCAAAAGTTAAAAATTAATGTTCAAAAATTAGAACGGGACTCATACAGGCCAACATTAAAAATTGTGTGAAGGCAGTTGACCTAACTTTCTAAACCTGGCGTTACTGGCTGACAACTGCACTACAACACAGATAAAGTCTACAGGCATGCTACTTACCACACTGGTGTTAAGTTGTTTGAGGTCTTTTGGTTTCAGCATCGTGACTAGAGATCTCGCGCTTTTCAAGTCATCCGATCGCCAATTCTTGACATCACCAAATGCCGTCGTGGCTGCAGCCAGTAATGATCTCTTGTCGAACTTGCTCGCCTTGTGTCTGTCTTGCCTTTTGTCATTCATATTATCCAGCCTATACAGTCAGGTAGCGCGCGGCAGTTAATATTTTCATAAAACTTTGGCACTCTAATGGACAACTTGCATGTTAGACTGAATTTTAATCTAAGTAAAGAGAAGGGAATCAAACACCACAGCTAAAACGAACATAATGAAATTAGTAAAATTGCAAAATTTGGTTGCGAAATGTTGTAAAGCTTGGAAAATATAGCCTTGCAAAGTTTGCAAATTTTGTATATGTTTGTATTACGTGCGGAAATTGTTACTATATATTTTCGGCTAAAAAATGGTAACAATTTCCGCACGTAATAGAAACATATACAAAATATGCAAACTTCGCAAGGCTATATTTTCCGTATTTTACAACATTTCGTAACCAAATTTTGCAATTTTACTAATTTTAAAATTTTATGTTACTCTGAGTGTATATCCACAGCGGGCATGCTTGAAAAATATGTCTGGCCACGGTGGGAATCAAACCTACGAACTTTGGAATACTAGCCCAGGTTTGATTCCCACCGTGGCCAGGCATATTTTTCAAGCATGCCCGGTGTGGATATACACTCAGAGTAACATCACAAACATCTTATTCACCTGAGCACATAACACGCACACATAGTTTTAATAAGTTCTTTTCGGGAATTTACTTTTTTTTGCCTAGATAAAAAATTAGTCTGACAATAACTTGCAAATTGACTAATTGACACTTACATCGATCTGAAGACATCTTTATTTCTCGCGACATTCATGAGATCGTCAGGAGGAAGACACTGCACGAATTCCTTGCCCATTTTATCAAACATCCGTTTGTTCCATGTACGAGGGTTGCCATACACTCTTTTCATTGCCAGAGTCACAGGTTCGAATTGCACGCAATTCAAATGAGCTTGTTCAGCACTTCTGTTCGCCATTTCCTAGATATTAAGAGAAATTGCATGGAGATAATGTAAGTATAAACTAACGTTTATGATACCGTTGAACGGTTGAAAAGCAGACGGGGAAAATTTGTGATGTTTGAACTGGAAGCACTCTTCTCGCGTATAAATGAGGCGAAGAGGTACACTTTCGATTCCAGGAAATATGCAGTTGTCTCACATTAATATTTCCGCTTCATCTCATCCATATACGTAATTCGTAAAACTAAAAGAGTGCTTCTATTTTGATATTGAACTGTCAATGCCAGTGTAGGTAATGTCAACAATATAAACAAGCTTTCGTTGGTAAGGATGAAACTACCTGAAAAGTATAAGGAGAATTTCGATGTTTTGAGCGAAGGCACTTAACTATAATATAGTAACTCCAGACGAAGAGCATTCGCTCGAAACGTCGAAATTCTCCTTATACTTTTCAGGTAGTTTCATTCCTACCAACGAAAGCTTGTTAATGCTTCTATTTTCACCCGTTCCGCACGTTGTAACCAATAGTTTATTGGCGTTGTAATGCCATTGTATGCAATAAAGTATTGGGTTGTAATTGAAAACAAAACCACAACCACTGCACAAAGGTTTTAGTTATAAGTGTAATTGGCTTTGCTTGGTGGATGGAGGGGAGGCGGTAAGGTAATTCCCCGGAGGGGCAGCTGGCCGGGGTTAGGGTTTGCGGTTAGGATGCGGGGTTAGCAGGTGGGGTTAGGGGTTAGGGGTTAGAAGGTGGGGTTAGGGTTAGGGGTTAGGATTAGGGTTAGGGTTAGGGTTTGAGTTAGGATTAGCGTTTGGATTAATTGTAAATCCATTGTAACCAATACTTTATTGCATACAATGGCATTACAACGCCAATAAATTATTGGTTACAACGTGCGGAACGGCTGCTATTTTGACCCTGCCGAACACCGCGCAGGTTTTCGTTGGGTACTCCGCTAGAGTAAAACTCGATAAAAGAAGCATGACTCTTTCTAGACCTCTATAGTATAGGGTCCAAAATCTAAAGAACTGATAGATATATCCAGTATAAATAAAGTTTTCCCTCGTTAAATTATTTTTTATTATTAACAAGAATATTAGGACCTCTAGCAGTCTAGGGAAAAGATAGCTTTATCAGTTCTAAACTGTTCCTTCTAGAAGTTCAGTAAGGGTCATCTCTAATTGATCCAGTGTTACTACAGGAGGAAACCTAAACTAACTTATTTGGACAACTGACGAAGCTATCCAAATAAGTTAGTTTAGGTTTCCTCCTGTAGTAACACTGGATCAATAAGAGATGCCCTTACTGAACTTCTAGAAAGAACAGTTTAGAACTGATAGAGATATCCAGTATAAATAACTTAGTTTAGGTTCCCTGAACGAGCTTACCGATATTTTGTCAATTGCGACATTCAGTTGATCTTCTTTTATTGAACCAAAAATCCTCATCAAGTTTTTTTCATCTCCTTGGTACAATTTCTCCGTCATCATTGATATTTGGTCGAGCTGCAGATTTTTGATCGCATCTTCCTAAAATGTAATAGACTTTTAGTCTTTACTATTTCCCAAATATATTTGTATACTATACACAAGTTTGGTAATGAAAGTCCATTGCAAATTATGCCCAAACTCCCTTTTCAAATGGCAAAACACCGTTTTCAAATAGAAAAACACCGTTTTCAAATGGCAAAACTCCCTTTTCAAATGGCAAAACTCCCTTTTCAAATGGCAAAACTCCACTTTCAAATGGCAAAACACCGTTTTCAAATGGCAAAACACCGTTTTCAAATAGCATAAAAAGTGATAACAGCGTCTCCAAGTTTAATTTTAACATGCTAGGCACCGGTAACCAAGTCTTTACTAGCTCGTCACATCGCATTCTATACATACCCCAGCAGCAGCGATAATATCAGGTGTAAGTTTCTTGAATTCTCTTTGAGCCATGCCTTGAAATACATCGCTATCATGACTTTCGATCTTTGTTCTGATATCCGCTGAAATTCCTGTCCTGCTCGGAAACAATTATATACGTGTAGAGTCAGTATCTTACTGAAGTAAATTAATATATACAAGATGAAGGTACAGACCTTCATCTTGTACATATATAATTTTTAGGTGCTAGTTCAAGCAGTGTTTCAAATTAAACTGCTATTCCGGCCCACAAAATATTGGGGGGGGGGGGGCTCTAAACTCCTGGAACTTGCCAGGAATCCACCAAATGGACCTATTCCCTAATGAACGAAAGTTTGATCTAGACAAGTCTAGACAAAAATTTCATCACAGCTTGAAAGAGCATCACAAAATTAGTAATATTCCAAAGTTTCGTTGCGAAATGTTGTAAAATGCGGATAATATAGCCTTGCGAAGTTTGCCGTTTTTCGTGAAAAAGTATCAATTTCCCGCGCGTTACAAAATGACTGAAAAATGGCAAACTTCGTCTATATTATCCGCATTTTACAACATTTCGCAACAAAACTTCGGAATATTACTAATTTTGTGATGCTCTTTCAAGCTGTGATGAAATTTTTGTCTAGATCAAAACGCTGTTCATTAGGGAATAGGTCCATTTAAATGAGAAATATAGTTACCTTTGAAGTTTTTCTTTCATGAGGTCTAAAATAAACATTGTGAAAAAGTTGATTGAGCTCATTCTGCTCCACATAAACCGTACATTTTGATATTGTAAACAGCATTAAATACAATAAACCTTTTTAATTAACGAAGTAATGTGAATAGTTACCCGTATTATATTGACGATATTTGTCATATTCACCAATGCCATCTATATGAGCGTTTTTAAAAATACACAAAATATTGTTTTAAAAACACGTTAAATCTTTTAAAAATAACAACTTAATAGCAAAAATGCCCTGCTCTTTTTATTTCTGTAGAAGTTAACAAACTTACGTGCAAAGTTCAGCAGAATATTTCCATTGAAACACAACAAAACCAATTTAACCAGCATCTTAAAAGTTTATACTCAAAAACAGACACTGAAAATTACGGTTTGAAAAATTGTTTGTACACGACATAAACTTTTTCAATATTAAAAACGTCCAGTTTTGAAATGGAATACGGTTGTTTTTTTCAAAACTTTTCAATGTGAAAATAAGTTTAAATAATAAGTTTTATAATAAAGTCTTAAAATAAGAAAAGGATGTGTTTTCTTACCTTGACTATTAAAATATACTGTCCATTTTAAATTTTTTCTTAAAAATATTCAAAAACGTTCACGAAAACATTTGTTCCGACTATTACCGAACTTTGTACGACGAGTTACGACGATAATCTACGATGACGACAGTCGGAAAACAATTAAGGTGGCTCACTTGAGATCACACTCTATATGATCACATTATATTTTTTATGATCTAATTATTATTATTATATTTCTCATTAAAATATTACAAATTGAGTCACATTAATTAAATTCACATCACATTATAAAAATAAAGATGCACAAAATCACTATTTTTGTGCCACATTTACACAGAAATAGTACAATGTACATTACACTGCATTCTGTAAGTTTTTATACTATTATTAAGGTAGATGCTCATTGCTATATCTTTAGTACGCGTGATTGTTGCTATGGTTTCGAATGCCGTTTTGAGGGATTATGGTGGATGTTATAGGACACTGGAGTCATCAACAGTTGTGGCCACTGAGCGAGCCTTTTTTCCCCCAATGCGTTTCTGAAACGAAAAAGATTGATAATTTTTAACCATAAACAAAACGAGAAAATTTACTTGGATAGATGTTGTCTTCACTTCTGAGTGCATGGGATTCGGCCTCCTGCAATATGGCGGTGTCTGCATGGTTATAATATAGAAGAGATTATTTCGCTGGCCTCAGAGTGACAAAAAGTAACAATGGTTTTACTGACACTAGCTCTATTCCAAACACCAACTCTAACCCTAATCCTAACCCAACTCCAAGTTTGTTTCTAAACCAATCTTGAAGAAAAAAAGTTTTGACGAAATGTCATTCTGAGGTCAGCGAAATAGCCTTTTCCTTATAATATCGCCTCAGATTTTATGCTAAGGGGATTAGAAAACGCTCTCATAATATCAAACATACCTTATACACTTGGTGATAAGCATTTCGTAGCAAACTGTAGGGAAAGCATGATTCTAATATATCCATAGTCAGGAACGGCGATTCTTGAATGATCTGCAAGAAAAACAAGGCATTGCCTTAAAACTGGTCGGGTGTTTTGAAAAACGAAAAGCAACAAATGTCGTTATACCATATCAAGGAGTAGATACACAGACTCTCTGTTCCTAGGCATGTCCTTTTCACTCTCTAAGCCAAGCTTAAGCAGACTTGAAGATGCGATCTAAAAAAGTGGGGGGAAAATGTAGTTTAGAACTGATAGAGCTATCCAGTATAAATAAAGTTAGTTTAATTTAGGTTTCCTCCTGTAGTAACACTGGATCAATAAGAGATGATCCTTATAGTACTATAGGCCTCTAGGGAGAACAGTTTAGAACTGATAGAGCTATCCAGTATAAATAACGTTAGTTTAGTTTAGGTTTCCTCCTGTAGTAAGTTAGTAACACTGGATCAATAAGAGATGATCCTTACTGGGCATCTAGGAAGAACAGTTTAGAACTGATAGAGTTATCCAGTATAAATAAAGTTAGTTTAGTTTAGTTTTCCTCCTGTAGTAACAATGGATCAATAAGAGATGATACTTACTGGACCTCTAGGGAGAACAGTTTAGAACTGATAAAGCTATCCATGCAGTATAAATAAAGTCAGTTTAGTTGAAGAAAATCTTTTAGTAACCTACCACAAGGAATTCTCTTAATCTCACTTCGATATTATCTCCGTTATTTGAACACAATGCTACCGAGATGCGATCAATTGCTTTTGCCAAACAGTGGAAGTTGTTCTCGTGTGCTGAAACATATTAATACACACGGTTTTTCTTTGTAGAGTTTCACAGTGGTCAGTGCATGTGCCTTTCAACGCGGTTCGATTCACACATGCAGTTGTCTGATTATAGTTTCACCTCAGTCGTATGTCAGAAGAGTGCTTCCAGTTTGACTCTACCGAATACAGCAGGCTATATAGTTAGTTTAGTTTAGATTTCATCCTGTAGTAACACTGGATCAATAAGAGATGATCCTTACTGGATCTCTAGGAAGAACAGTTTAGAACTGTTAGAGCTATCCAGTATAAATAAAGTTAGTTTAGTTTAGGTTTCCTCCTGTAATAACACTGGATCAATAAGAGATGATCTTTACTGGATCTCTAGAGAGAACAGCTCAGAAGTGAAAGAGCTATTCAGTATAAATAAAGTTGGTTTAGTTTAGTTCAAGAAGCTGAATTTGCTTGAATCGTGTATCATTTACCTTCCAGATTTGGATTGTATTCACAGTCATCTTTACTGGCTTGAAATGGAATACCAGCTCCCAGAAAAACCTGAAATCAAGGTATAATACAAAACTTAAAGACTACAAGGTATAATTTAGCAAGAGGTACTAAAATCTACTATAAAATGAAAGATTCGTGATGAAGCTGCATTACGTCCTAATGAGCCCTACTTTACTACTTTACTCTGTCTAATACCACACTGGTTTACTCGTCAAATAAAGAATGCTGGCGCTCAATGAGCTAAACAATGCACGGAAATTCATGATTCTTACGAGTAAAAGTGACCAAATTTGAATGTCATCTTCGCTCTTTTTCTCTGAAAATAAACAAAATAAAGCGCTAAAGTTCTCACTAAGGCCAAAAAAAAAAATATGTGGGTTTCCGGTTTCCCGACCCTACCTAGCTTTTGGACGTCGAAATCCCGACCCTAAACTTTTTTATTGGATCATGCTTGTAAGTGTTTCCACTTAGAGGAAAAAGTTTGTGGAAAATTGAAATTTGAGGCAATATTAGGGAAATTTATCTTTGGATGTGGAAGCACTGACTAAACAAAATGGCGTCCGCTTGTTCGGAAAATAAAAAAAAAAGTTTAAAAAAAAAAGTTAAAACCGACCTACCCTACCTAAGTTTTTATAAGAAGAAACCGGAAACCCACATTTTTTTTTTGGCCCAATCAAGAAATTAACAACAGTTCCAGCTCACCCCTGTGTTGTTTCAATACCGTACAAAGAGATCGATCTACGTCACATGTATATCCTGCGGCAATCGCCATTTCGTCAACTAACTATAACGAAAACAGACGTAACAAAATAATTTACAGTTTAATGGTAAAACAAAAGGAAAATGGTTGATCGAATGATACATAGAAAACGAATTATTGAACGAAGTGAAACTTTAATTGAAGGGCTTGTTTACACATACAACGCGGTTTTCACTTTCTTTAGAAAAGTGTTGCTGGAAATCGTTGACGTAACATACAAGAAAAGGAACTCGCTTCTCAAGCGTCTAAAGAAAGAGAAAGAAACATTAAGGTCAGCGAAAGGTACGTTTTTCAAGGGAGGGGGAGAGGGGTGGGGGAAGGGTGGTGGAGAGAGAAGCCAGGAAGTCCCCCCCTTTGGATCAGTTGTAAACTGTTCTCCCTAGAGGTTTGGTTAAAGTTAATTTCTTCTTGATCTTGTATTACTACTATAGAAAACCTGAACTATAAACCGACCTTATACTGGATAGCTCTACCAGTTCTAAACTGTTCTTCCTAGATGTCCAGTAAGGATCATCTCTCATTGATCCAGTGTTACTGCAGGAGGAAACCTAAAATAAATTAACTTTATTTGCTAGATGTCCAGTGAGGATCATCTCTTATTGACCCAGTGTTACTGCAGGAAGAAACCTAAACTAAACTAACTTTATTTATACTGGATAGCTCCGATATCAGTTCTAAACTGTTCTTCCTAGAGGTCTGATAAGAACATTTTACCGGCACTCCGCGCTTACATGAGATCAAATGCTTTGTCAAAAACATAATGCAATAGAAATTCATGTGCTGTAACTTACGTCTCGCAAAGCTTCCTGTGTAAGTTCTCTGAAAGCCAAAATTACACCAACGATTGTCATACGAATCAACAGATCATCAGTATCTAGAGTTGAAATGGGAATAAGTCAATAAAAAAAATATAGAAATATTATAATACTATATATAAAAATAATATTTTAATACTTAAGAGTATGGCAACCAGGCTAGGATTTCAGCCATATTCTGCTGTTGGTTGCTGTTGGTATTAAAGGAATACCGAATGGTTTTCTGTGCAGGATTGCGTGATCCATGCACGAGGGATGTCGCGAGACTTTCGGAAAGCGTAAAAATACTCGAGCCGCAGGCGAGTGTATTTTTACGCTTTCCGAAAGTTGAGCAACATCCCAAGTGCATGGATCACGCTATCCTGCTTGGAAAACCATTTGGTAATTGTTTTATAAAATAACTACAGTGAAACAATGACATTTTGAGAATCCCGCGAAGGCATTTTAATTCCTCGTGCAGGATAGCCTGATCCTGCACGGCTGTTGACCAATCAAATTGCATGTTTCACTGTAGTTATTATATAAAGTGTCTTACTAAGTGAGAGACTGTACATACTTTTTAATCGTCGAACAAGTTCCAAACTATGCTCTTGTTTATCCAAAGAACTTCTCAAGCTTGTTAGAACATCTTTGTTGGTCTTAACTAATTTCTGTTGAAGAAAATTAAATATACATGATATAAGAGGCAGTCTGCCAATGGTAGAAAGCTGTAATAAGCTAACTGTATTTATACTGGATATCCCATTATCCCTATCTGTTGTAAACTGTTCTTCTTAAATGACCAGTAAGCATCATCCTTCGTTCATCTAGTTTTTCTCAGGAGGAACCTATTTATTTTTACCGGGTAGGGCTATCAATTCTAAGCTCTTCTCTCCCAGAGGCAAAGGTCCAGTTATTCCTTCATTTGTCCAGTTTCATTAACAGAAACACCGCCAATCATTTTACGAAAGAAGTTATACACATACTTTGACTTCTCCCATTTGACTCGCAATCTGTTGTAGCATTCGGTCACCTAGGTACTTCATACCATACGGGCCAAGTAGGGTCGCTAGAGCTCGCAATTCTATATATGGTAATAAAAAACTCAGTAATAAACGATGCCAATGCAATAAACAACTCGCCGTAGAGTACAATAACATACTGTACTATACCATACTACATGAAACCACATACCATACTATACCATACCACACCATACTATACCATACCAAACCATACTATACCACATCATACTACACCATACCATACCATACCATACCATACCATACCATACCATGCATACCATACCAATACCAATACCAATACCACACCCTACCATACCATACCACACCATACCATACCACACCACACCACACCATACCATACCACACCATACCATACCATACCATACCATACCATACCATACCATACCATACCATACCAATACCAATACCATACCATACCATACCATACCATACCATACCACATCATACTACACCATACCATACCATACCATACCATGCATACCATACCAATACCAATACCACACCCTACCATACCCTACCATACCCTACCATACCATACCATACCATACCATACCATACCATACCATACCATAAGAACTAACCATAACTACCATACCACAAGAACTAACCATAACTAAACCTTACACTACACTACACTACAGGGGCCGGTTGTATCAAGCCCGTTTAGCTTAAACGGTGGTTAAGCTCAAAATAGAAAGCAAGTTCAACAACCAAACTTCAACAAAATTCAACAACCAAACTAAAAGTTTTGAACCTTAATAGAACGATAATGTTTACAACTACATATTCAGTGCAGAATATTTAAGTTGACTGATTCACGAGAGAGAAAAAAGTGTTATTTAATTTTGACTTATCCACCGTTCAAGCTAAACGGGCTTGATACAACCGGCCCCAGCACACTACATCAGCTTGACTTACCAACGGGGTCAGTAAATTCATCTGCTTTAAAATTCGTGGTCGCTGTCTTCGTGATAAATGATCTTCTGTTGGGCGAATACAACATATTTCCAGTCGACACTTGACGAAGTAATATTTCTACATACCTACAGAAGAATAGGCAAGTAGAAAAGGTTTAATGTGAAACACTGAATACGGAATTGCCTTTACTGGACCACTACAGTTTAGAACTGATAGAGCTATACAGTTCAAATGAAGTCGGAGAGATACTAAAGCCTCGCAATGACACTTGAGAGAAGCTCAGATTTAACTTCCACTCATTGAGCGTGAGTGAGCTTTTAGAATACGGGCGTCAGTCTCGTTTGACCAAAGCTGATCTACCAAAAGAGCTCACCATTGGGAGTACATTCCGCATACAGTAATTCCACCATGGCTGTCCACTGGTTGTGTCTGTTGCAACATCGCGTGATTACATATCCTAGACATGTCCACATTCGCTGAGGAATAAAATATTTTTCTAATGAGAAATTATGAAAATTGGGCAATGGATAATGTGAAAAATAACAGAAGTTTTAATACAGTACCGTAATTCTCCACGCATCGTAAAACGCCCATTAGAACCTGAAAAAGGCAAGAAATTATCAATAAAATTGCAATTCAATATTGTTGTCACTGAACAACTTGAAAATTGTACATACCTTTACGTTATTAAGTAATTCTGATGGACGATTTATCTCCTGTTTCTCAGAATCGTAGCCAGTTAATTTAACGACGGACCTACGATACATCAGACTCTGTCTTAGCGAGGGTCCCAAAGAATGTGTGTAGGTGGGGAGTGCAGCGAGGAATTTCTCAGGAACAAAGCTGTAAATACAAAGGTCCAAACCTCTACCCGTTCCTCTCTCAATCTACCCTCACACCCCTTTCATTACCCCTCTTTCCATCCCCATCCCCCTCTTACTTGCTAAAGAAGTCTTCAAGGTGAACAGCCAGAAACTCCTTCGGAGCGAAGTTGTGTTCCCAGACTTGAATATGTGATACATAGTTCAGTGCCACTGCGAGGTCAGATAACGCAAGCAGCTTCGCGTCCAATCTAGAGAATGCAGAATACAATAAATTCACACTTGAATATTTTTACCTATAAAACCCTTTCAGCGGGAAAATGTACCACTTTCGGCCAAATGTGGTGCACTTTCCCTTGCATAATACAAAATTCGCAGGGCTATATTTTCCTCATTTTACAACATTTCGCAACCAAACTTTGCAATTTTATTAATTTTAACATGCTCTTTCTAGCTGTGGTGATGGATTTTGTTCCTCTTGCCATAGATCAAAATTTAGTTTATAGCTAGAATCATTCATTGAATACTTACTGAGTCAACGCTTCTCGTGTTTTCCTATAACTTTCATCTCCGGGCATCGCCATCTCCGGCTGTTGATTTTTCTTATTTTTATCTTTCTTCTTTTTTGCGGCGGCGTCCACCAGCAAGTGTAGCGCGTTGAGCGGATCAAGCTGGTGAAATAACTTGAGGTGTTCTTTACAATATTGTTGAACGACTTCCTTGGCTTGTTTTGCAATGGCGTCCAGAAACATGTTCACTGCCGAAAGACTTCTCTCGCCCAACAGATGACGCTATAAAGTATAAAAAGTCATCGATAGTTTACACATCTACCTCGGCTTTTAACCATAATTATTACTTTTATTATTATCATATTTCGACAGAGAGTTCACGAGAATGAGAGTTGATGAGAGTTGAGAAGCGAGAATTTGCACGAGAGTTTTCTCCACTCTCATGGCCCGGTCAACGAGAACAACAGTTGCATGAGAGTTGATGAGAGTTGAGAAGCGAGAATTTGCACGACAGTTTTCTTAACTCTCATGTCCTGGTCAAACGTACGAGAAGAAGAGTTGCATGAGAGTTGATGAAAGTTGAGAAGAGAGAGTTTGCATGAGAGTTGATGAGAGTTGAGAAGCGAGAGTTGGCATAAAAGTTGATGAGAGTTGAGAAGCGAGAGTTTGCATGAAATTTGATGAGAGTTGAGAAGCGAGAGTTTGCATGAAATTTGATGAGAGTTGAGAAGCGAGAGTTTGCATGAAAGTTGATGAGAGTTGAGAAGCGAGAGTTTGCATGAAAGTTGATGAGAGTTGAGAAGCGAGAGTTTGCATGAGAGTTGACGACAGTTGGCAAGCGAGAGTTCGCATGAGAGTTCTCTCAACTCTAACGTGCCGGTCAAACGAGTTAAAACTCTCATCATCAATTCTCATTCTCGTTTGACCAAGACTTCAGTAGCAACTTCGATCAATCCAGTGAACCTACCTCTTCGGGACAGGAGGGGTTTGTGGCGGACATGAAGTGACTGCAAAGCAGCGGAAATGTGATGGAATATTTCTGTTGACCCAAACTACTCAGGCACTGATGAAATGCTTCTTCCAAAGAAGTTGGATAGAAACTAAAAAGAAATGCAAATTTATGAGACTTTGAATAAAAATCTGATTTTTTCTGTGTTGGTGTAATGTACTCAGGTGAATATGATGCTTGTGATCATGATTACTAGATTACATTGGCATCGAAGGAACTAGATTCTGTTCCGAAATATCACATACTCGAACCGACCTGACCGCGTAGCTCAGTTGGCAGAGCATTGGGCTAGTATTCCAAAGGGCGTAGGTTCGATTCCCACCGTGGTCCGGCATATTTGTCAAGCTTGCCCGGTGTGGATATATACTCAGAGTAACATCACAAGCATCAATTCTAAAATCATCATCAAAATAAATGCGTTTATTTGCCTTCTTACCAGAAAAAAGTGAGGTCGGCAACCTCGTTCAGTAAGCCTTCCTGGTTGTCGACGAGTTTTGAATGAAATGATATTGTGTTCAGTAATACTGCCATGTCACGGATATCTTTGATTTCTGGTGCAGCTCCACGGATGCTTGTATAGGCCTGGATATATATATGAAGAGAGATGAATATACAGTAATATACAAGACATGATATATGCCTCAATAGTCATGAGTACCTGTAGTCGAATCCAATCTAGTCGTAGACCATCAAAGTCAAATTCTGTGTTGCTTTCAACTAATGAGAAAAAATAAGAACTTTTGTTTCTGCTTCTCATTCCATCCTTCCTTCATTTCCCAATTATTGATTCCTCCCACCTTTCATCCCCCCTCTCCCCTTTGCTTCTTCCTTCCTCCTATCCTCTCTACTCTCCTCCTTCCCTCCATCCCCTCCCCCCTCCTTCCTGTTTTCCTCCTACCCTCACTACTCTTCACCTTCCCTCCATCCCCTCGACCCCCTTCCTCTCACACTGTTTTCCTCCTACCCTCTCTCCTTTCCTCTTTGTCGCCCTCCTTCCTTCCTTTCCCCTCCCTCCTTCTTTCCTTTCTGTTTTCCTCCTTCCCTCTGTCTTTCCTCTTTGTTTCCTCCTTCCTCCCTTTCCGCTCCCTCCTTCCTTCCTTTCCGCCTCCCTCCTCCCTGTCTCTTCTCTTTCTTTCCACCTCCATCCCTCCTTCCCTGCCTCCTCCCTCTCCTCCAGCCTCCCTGTCTCCCTCCCTCCCCCTGTCTCTCCCCTCCCTCCCACCTCCATCCCTCGCCCTCTTCCTTTCTCGCTCTCTGCCAACCCATAAACCGTAACTACCTTGTTTTACACTTAGACTGGACAAAGTGTTTGTAAACGAAGTCATCAACAAGGAGACATCTTCAGGAACGATGGGGATTTTCTGTGGAAGTACACATTTCGACATGTAAATTTACGAATCAAGGTTTCCGGATAATCCACATGCCAAGTTACCACTGTACTGATAATGTAGTTGTTGTATACCATATTTTTGCCTACCTGAAGAATTTCCTTCAACAGACTGTTATCAAAGCCTGACATATACTGGATGTAGTAACGTTGTAAGACTGAGGTATATTTCAACATCATTGCTAAAAACACGGAATTCGTCATTATTTAGATGAAAATAAAGAGACGAACAAAAAAAACATTTATAGATATACAGACACATAATTTACCATATAATTCTTCAATCAGAAACAACATGTGTGATAGTCTCCTGTTTAAAGAAGAATAAAAGTTGACACACCTAATTGATGTATGATCTAACCATGCTTAAATCAGCAGTGAGTTCTGTCAGGGCGTTTATAAGATAACGTTTATCTTATAAACGCCCTGGTTCTGTACAGCATCAGATCACTTTAAGGTAGCCCACATTCAAGAACATGTATTATGACCTCTGATTGATCTAACCATAGTTTAAAGTTCAACTCAGCAGTGAGTTCTGTACAACATCAGATCACTTTAAGGTTGTCCACATTCAAGTACATGTATAAAATATTTCATGGATCAACTTACGCGTCAACATAATCATCGGGATTCTTCTTTCCTTTAGGTGGATTATGTTCTTTATGTCTGATCAGCCAGTGAACTTCATCCGAAGACAATGACAAGGCTTGTATTACCACTAAAGCCTGGAGATTTAGATATCAAAGATATTTCACGTGTTATCTTAGAACTTCAGGATACAGCCTGTGACTATGAAGTGATTAATACCTGCACTGCTGATATGGTTAAAAGGTCGGTGAAGATCAATAAGAGATGCCTCTTACTGGAGCTCTAGGGCGAACAGTTTAGAACTGATAGAGCTATCCAGTATAAATAAAGTCAGTTTAGTTTAGGTTTCCTCCTGTAGTAACACTGGATCAATGTTTAGAACTGATACAGCTATCCAGTGTGAATAAAGTTAGTTTAGTTTTCTACAGGAGGAAACCAAAACTAAACTAATTTTATATTTATACCAATAAGTACCTCTTACTGAATCATTAGGGATAGTGTATTTGTCAAAGCAGTTTGTTCTTAGCATCGCATTTCTACCTTTGGTCCAAACAGGCCAGGTTGGTCGGCAATAATGTGGGAAAGTTCTTGCATGGCTGCTCTAAGATAGTTTCTTCTCTCCCGATGTATTGCAGGACTAGAAATAAAGAAATACTTATATTATAGTCTCTGTGGTGTATAAACTGATTACCGAAACACTGCCTTGGTGTTTCAGTCGTCGGAGCAACTATAACGTTGCATGGTTGAACTATATACAAGCTATCAGGGTTTTTTCAGGATTTGCTCTTGGGTCCGTTTTGCAGAGAAGATTAAGCTTAGCTGAACAGCTGGGGCGGCTGCCCCCCCCCCCCCCCCCCCCCGAGGAAAGGGGGGCTGACACCCGTACTCAATAAATGTAGTTGAGACGCAATGTGTTAAAGCAGGAGCAACAAGGGACACTAGAAACAGGTTAAAGATGGCGAATGCGTTCCTAATTGTCGGATTTCCAACTGAAAACTAATTTCCACACGTCACGAATTAACTCAAACAATTAACATTTTTACTGCACTGAAACTTTGGTGGGACTATTGAGTTTCAAAACTCAATTCAAGATTGACTTTTTGGGGACGTTTTATATACGGCCCTAAAAATCCCTGGAAAAACCCTGGCTATTACTTACTTACCTATTGCTCAGAGAGATTGAACCACATTCTTGAATTTCTTTTGCTCTTTTGCTTTGCCTGAAAATACACAAGTTCTTTCTTTAACCAGTGTCCGACAAAATCTCCAATCTCTTATTCACAAATTCAATCTGCAGATATTATATCTAATTTACCCTTTTAAAGCGTCAAAGAAAGTATGGAATTCTTTATGCACCATGTAGACCTCGTCACGACAAAGAGACAAACAATAGCCATCACATAAAGCCGCTTTCCAGATGTCCACGGCGCCAGGATCGTTAATGTGATTGTAACAGAGGCAGTAACAAACTGGCAAGAGAAATAGTTTCATTCGACATCAATTAGATGTTTTTTACATATCAAGGGGGTGGTCCAGTGTAGGTAGTGTTCTACAATTACCTGCCGTGGTTTGTGGTCCAGTGTAGGTAGTATTCTACAATAACCTGCCGTGGTTTGTGTCTGAACTTACCTGAAAAAAGTAATGTATCTCAAACGTGGTGGTCCAGTGCAGGTAGTATTCTACAATAAGCTGTCGTTGTTTGTGTCTGAACTACCTGAAAAAGATATCTCAAACGTGGTGGTCCAGTGTAGGTAGTATTCTACAATAAGCTGTCGTGGTTTGTGTCTGAACTA